GAGGATGCAAGCAAAGCTCAAGGTATAGACACTCTTTCTTTGGCTTTCAAGTATATCTATATGAAAGAGAAAGATTATAGAAAGAAAGAAACTACAAAAGGGAGGATCACACATCCGCTTCAATGAGGAAGAAATAACAAAGAAGCACAAAAGATCCTTTCAATATAAAAGAATAACCAATCCCTTGACAAAGTATAAAAAGAAACCCCAGAAGAAACCATAAGGTTCAGGCCATGGCTAACCAAAATCACCATTCTGCCCCAAAGAAGTGGGGTGGTTGGGAATAATCTTCCAAAGTTCTGGCATTCCAGTCCAAGTATAAGACCCCGGCCCCCAAAACCCAGAAATAACAGTTTATGTTCATTGTTCCCCCCAAAAATTCCCACTAATTTGTAAAATAAAAGATGCATAAAAAAATTGCACTGCCAAGTGCAGTGATCTAATATAAGACATCCGATCATGAATCTACAAATGGATCATATTGTGCATGCACCATAAATTATTTAATTAGAAGTATTCTCTGAGATACTGTTATAAGCAAACTATGCATAAGTCTGTCCGATAATAATTTAGACTAAAGTTCCCATCCTTTTAAGCTTCCTGCTTGTGGTAGATTGATGTATTCCATCAGTGAGGAAAGTGATCCTAGCAAAGCACTCACTGCATGATGCATGCCAAGTAATTACAAGATTCTACCAAGCACCTCTAGCATTAGTTTCACAAATAATTGATAAGGAACAGAAACAAGGTAAAAAAGCTTAACCTGAAGAGTGTAGAGTCCAGATTCTAGCTTTCGGTTGTACCTTTCTTCTTCATCCATCTAAATAATGTAAACAAGTTTAGAAAAAACCCAAAGTGGAACATGAGACTTCAAACTTAATAATAGAAGTACGTCACCTCGAGATCATCAAGCTCAAGTTGGTCCAGCCTTTCGGTTTCTGCTTTAATTCTATTAGAGTATCTGCATCAAGATTAACATAATTAAGACAGGCAGGTGACCCTGAAGATGACATTTATATCAAAAAGCATTTACCCAACTACTGATGGCACATAGCCATCGTACAATTTTATTTATCGTTGAAGTATTTTCAGTTTATTATTTAAGAATTTTATTATAATTAGTTTATTTTTTTATTAGTATCGTTTTCTATTTGAATTAAGATTAGTATTCTTAATTCTATTATATTACTATATGCTAGGTTAATTCCAATTAGAAAAGATATTATTATAAATAGCTTGTAATTTCACTTATTTATTATCCAAATATTCAATTTCCTTTTTTCAGAATTTCTCATAATTGATTATGTCTCATAATTGATTATGTCGTTCAATCAACCCTTGGGTGTAATACTCAAATAATCCTAGGGGTAATATTTAAGTTTGCCCCCCCAATTTCTTAGTAGACAAATTAACCCTAATTTCTCCTATATCAACTACAGGTTCAATGATATTGTGTTTTTCCTCCATAGAAAACTAGTAATCAATCGAGTGGAAGCAGCATTCATTCTATAGGCGAAGAGCCCACTAAAGATATTTTAGTCTCTCCTTCAGCCTTGGAAAAATAAGAGCTTTGTAATTCTTGTAAGCATAATTACAGTGAAACTGAAACAAATGAGTTAACCAGAACCTTATATAGAGTTCCATAAGCCGGTCAATCTTCTCGTACTCATTCTCAACAAATTTGCTCAATAATCTTTCTCTCCTTGAACCCCTCAAAATTCCACCTGGAAAAGAAACAGCACGAAAGAACAATTACTTTCAATAAACTCTATTAAATATAGATAAATTCTATTTTGAACCCTCACTGATTGTGAATCTAAAATGGTTGATCTAAATCCAACATCACCAATGATTGGTTGGAACTTTTTGAACAAAATGCAATCACAAAACTGAGATTTTCAGATTGGCACATGCTAGAAATTAATATGTCACACCCCCAGGACTGGTTGTTGCTTAACTTTAACGTCAATTCATACCATTGTCTAACTCAAAGTGCTTTCTCCTTTAC